TCAGTCAGCGCCCCTACTACTTGCGCTTTTCTACTTAATAACTTCTTTGAGAAATCGGCTCGCGAAATTTCTTACACACTTGTCATGGCAACCTTTCTTAAGATGTACTTTTGTCCACAATGAGGATTAGTTTCAGGTACCTCAGGCGATAATGAAGAAGAGCAAAAGGGCGATGGTGCTGCACTCGCGGAACTACCCAATCCTGATCAAGCTGATGTATCACAGCCAAGACCGGACCCTAACAATGCTACTGCTAATATGTCGGCGGTGTGTTTATTGACATTCAGCCATTCGAAAAAATTTCGAGACAAGAATCTGACGTAATAGTTGATGTTTGGGGATCTTTATCCACCGTCTGTACGGTCGGTAATATCATCGATTTCCCGATTTTTTCCAGATGAATGCTTCCATCATCGAGCTCATGAACCGTTCTATGAATACTTCGAAAGATATTGCTGGTTTCAAGGTTAGTTTGTCTCTACAAAGCTGTCAGTGAATGGCGCCAGTGCGCCCTCTTCTCTTATCTCTTTTCTTGAATGTGGTGATTTCAGGTCAAGCTCGTTTCATTCCGCGATGTAATGCAACGGATGTTTGAGAATCTGAGATCTTCCGGAGTATTGTTTGAGGACATATTAGAGCTCGTTAGTGAATTCGCTTTTTTTGCTACCTTGTTCGCTTTGTTACCTTGTTCTGTTTTTTAATCTGCGCGTACTTCTGTTTTAGCTCGGATCTGGAACAGATGAAATGAGAAGTTTAGCGGAGAAAATCCGTGTTATGAAGTTCGAATGGGATAGTGCCATCGAAGAAAAGCGTGTGGTAATGGACGCCATTGAAGGTGCGACTCAAATGGTTCTATTTTTCTCTTATTCTTAAAATTGATTGCTTATTGTTTTTTTTTCTTGCAGACACTGTAGTCAGCATCAACAACCTGCAGGTGGATTTGTCGACTTGGGAGCACTCATTGAATGAAACATCATTTCGTCTTGATGTATCGATGGCTCATAGTACTACTCACTGTTTCTCTGCGCAGACTGCTCGAGTTGATGAAGAAGGAGGTACCATTTTGCTGCTATTCGTCATACACAAGAGACGACGTTTTTCAGATCTGCTACTCTCGGAGCAAGGACTGGCAGAACTACGGACTCAAATTTCGTTGAAAACCGAAGAGATTATGGAACTTCGTGCAGCAATTGAAGAAGTAAGTACTGTTATTGGAGTGACCCCTCCAGTTTGAGTCCGGGACACTGTGATCAGCCCGCCTGTTTAAAAGAAGTTGACGACGAATTGTGCCATATTCTATGCTGAGAATTGGATCGTTTAGATTTTTATGCGATATAATGTAAAGGCACCCATACGAGAAGGCTACAATAGTGTAGGGACTCCTCGAGCCGATTCAAATCCAAAACTTAATTGTTTCGTAAGCGAAGGGAATCCTCCAAAATTAGCCATGGAGAATGAGCATGAGGATGTGCTGACATTTCTCCACCGTCTGAGTAACACGTTGACGACATCGCGCGTTTTGGCTTTTTGACCGCGTGGGACAAGAGCGGTTTTTGCGAGCGCCGCCGCCACACACAAATTGTGGATTTTAAGCTGTAAATTTGCAAAAAAAAAACGAATGCGACAAAGTGTTTCCGGTGATATTGTGCATTTGTAGTACAATTGTAGAAGTTCGATGAAAATGACGTGTGATGGTTATGAAAAGGCAGATTTTACTCAGTGGTTTCGAAATTATTTGGACGTGGATTGTTTCGGTAAAAACACATATCTCTCATACGAATAGGTTTGTATTCAGTTATCTTATTCTTTTTTTATCTACATGTTACGTTAATGAAAAGAAAACGAGGAATGAACTGAAAAGACATTTCAGTAACATATAGAGATATAGAAAACCTCTGCCAAAGAATATTTGACCATTCTGTAAGCGACGTGGTTCTTGGTTATGTTGATGTATGGCCTATAAAATGAACACACAAAAAACTTGGGAAGAAATCGGCATGTGCGCAAAAATAAATGTAATGGGTGTGGCATACATAGTTGCCACAATGTCCGATGAGGTGCAAAATGGCGGCATACATAGTTGCCGCGCTGTCGTCAAGGTGTTAAAGGCAGTGGTCACGATAGCGGGATGATCATTTGATGACGTCATTGAACATCACAAGTAGATTAGCCCCTTCAGCGCGAGGGGGAGGGGGGAGTTTGGAGAGGATGTGGTTGGGATTACATCTAACGCTCTTACAGAATGACGTTCTGTGAAGTCATCAAAACCGCAGCACTCTCGAGCAATTGTGATCCCTGCCTTTAGTACTGAATGAGTGGCCCCCTCAAAAACTTTGGCCATTGCCGTGCATTTCATGCTTTTCTCTGAGAAATTATGGATTTCTCTGTCCTTGCAGTGATATTGCTACCTTGGCTCAGTTTCAGCCACTTAACCTCTGCAACTGGATATAACATTTCTTCCTCAATTTCAGGCTAATGAAGCTCGTGACTTGGCGCTTTCTTCTGCCGACAACTTGCGTTCTGATCTGAAACAAATGGAGACGAGGCTCATAAGTATGGCAGGGGAGCGTGATCGACTCATCTCAACAGTCCAATCAGATGACGCTGAGAAACGCATTCTGAGGGAATCATTGGAAGTTTGTTGCTTGTAATCCTCTGAGGAGGCTGTGCTTCACTGAAATGCGTTCTTTCCAGTCGCAGTTGGCGACCAACGAGCAAGTTCAGCGCGATGTTCTGCAGTTACGTTCACAGAGTGATGCCTTCATCCGTGAAATGGGTGAAAAGGACGCGCTCATAGTGGAACTGGAAGCGAAATTGGCTGCTGCTAAAAATTCGGTTCGTTTCATCTGTGCGAAATGGTATAAAAGCATCCCCAAGATCAAATTTGTGTAGAATTTCTTTCGAAAATGAAGTAGAAGTTAGAAGTGGGCGGCAAGCCAGGCGATGGCAAGTTAAGAAAAAAGGGAAAGAAAACCCTGCAGCGAGGAGAGAGGGACGCAGAGGAATCATTGGGCGAGTTGTGTACTCTACACTGTCTACACCCTACCCTGTGTTCTCTTCTACAGCCTTTTTGAATCAACGCAAGGGCAGACGCGCCGTGAACTCTCCTCGCCTCAGGCTGCTCCTCGCCGCGCGGTAGGATTTTTGTGGTGTGCCTAAGAGAGAGTCAGGGAAGGGCTCGAGATTATAGGCGCTGATGAGAGAGCTTGACTCATGGGGACGAGAGGACGTAGCATAGCACACGCGAGAACATATTCTCTTTTCGGGGAACGAAATGAGCATCGAGTGCAGACCACACACCGTCACTTGTGGTGTGTGGTCTGTACTGGACGCTCTTCTCGTTTCCCGAAATAGAGGGTGCGAAAGAAAGTGATCACGGAACAGTGGACGCACCCACCAGGTCAAGGTCAGACTATGCGAATTTAGCGAACGCGGGATACGAGCGATGAGTCAGTGGAAAAGTGGTAAGGGTCTTTTTCCTTTGCACCTTCACTCTGCCACTTTCTCAGGCTCGTGAGGGTATGAGAGCATGGGAGAGTGGCGAAAGCCAACGTGCGCATCAGAGGAACTCCCAGGAAGCGCAGAGGTTGAGGGGTGTTGCATTGCTCTCGCTCAGTCTTGAGAGAAAAACTTTGTAGATCAATCAAGTTTCAAAGAACATTAGTTCGTTTGATCGCACCAAGCAATCTCAAGAGTATCTTACGTTGACGCTGGCTGTCCCGTTTGCTAGTGTATAGATTTAGCTGTATTTAACCCTTTGACGACCGTGTGGCCCGCCGGTGGGCCACACTTTCGCTCGGTGGCGACACGTTTTTAGGGGTTTATTTTGGCATTTTTTTGTTTCAAAACTACACAAATACATCATCGAATTCGCGGAATAATGCGCTAATTACTAATAGTGAAATTGTTGGAGAGTTAATGATTATTGATGAAAAAATTTAGAAAGAAGTGAAGTGACGCATTCATAACGGCGGTCGTCAAAGGGTAAATGAATCACGATTCCAAATAATCTTGGATGCTTGGCGCATTGGATTTGCCGAAATTTTTGTTTTCCTGAGTTATAGTTGGGAGTACCCTACTTAACATATTCCTTTTAGAGTATGCAGACTCCCTTGCTTGGGTTGAGTAGCATGAACTAAGTATCACTTACATGACAAGTAAGAAGCGCTTATCGATGCGCTGCCGCTTGATCGATTCAGAGATGAAAAAATGCGATTGGAAAACCAACTTATAAATTGATATGTAGCAGCGGCTGTTGCGCTCTCTTACTCATACTTGCTGAATGAGCCAAAAGAAGTTGATCTCTTTCTTGAGTTGAGCCTATGCGTTATGGTGCTATTTTGTGGAAAAAGTGCCTGGTTTGTTGTCGAAGTAGTTTTGCGACGTTTCAGAACACCTCATTGAAAGAAGTCATTTCGGAGCGCGAATCCAAACTCGATGCACTCCGTGCGGCTTCTGGAGGAAGAACAAGAAAGAAGGCAAAGAGAACACGAAAGTTGGAAGACGGATCTAACGACAGCGCAGGTAGCGAACAAGGTTCCACTTATGTGATTCACTAAGACGTACTTTTATTTAGGACACGTCATCCGCACTTCGACGTGATTTCGAAAGGATTCGAAATGAACTAAGCATTAAAGACGAGAAGATCCGTAATTTGCAGGATCAGCTGCGAACCGTCGAAGAGACCGTTAGTGTCGCCCAAGTTGAAGCTGAATTGATCCCTCCATTAAGTAGTTGATCATACCTCTCAATATCTCTTACAGAATATTCGTATGGCTGAAGCAGTATCGGACATTGCATCTCACGACAACCATGCTGTGCGCAGCGCAAGGGCATATCCTAATAGTGCTGTTGCTGAAGTGCAGACTATGCCCCCATTGGCCAAGGTGAGGATTTCAAAAAAGCCCCATTCTGAACTTCCAATGTATTATAATTCGTTTGCTTCTCAGCTGAAATCACGAGATGCTCAAACAGATATAACCAGAACTTCACTGGCTCAGATGGAATGTGATGCGGTTTCTTATTCTTCTGAGCTGAACGCAATACGTTCCGCTTATTCTGAGCTGTCTGAAGCGATTGGACAGCTAGTGGTGAAAAAAATCGAACCACTTCCACAAACAAGGCAAGTTGTTTTTTATTTGCTTAGGCAAAGTTTGTAAACTTGTTGACTCTGATTGAGGTGCTTTCATGTATGAAGTTGATTTAGTGATAGTGCCTGCATAGAGAAAAGTTGCAAGGAATTGTCCCGTCTCATTCACCACGAGAGAAGAAGGCGTGAGAACCAAGCCAACGAATTAGCAGCAATGACTGCCAAAATTGAGGAATTACGTCAGAAAGGGTTAGTTTCACTCTAAAAGCACAAACACAAAACAATGCAGGCCAAATGCTTCATTACTCAGAGAGGATTCTTGTCCTACGGCAATAGTAAAGGAAGGTTTATTAAAGTTATCGGAGACGGGAAGGGGGAGCCTGCCGAATATGGTTGGCAGGCGAGTTCCACCAATACATGTCAGACGGTTGGAACTTTTCTTTCAGCAAGTTCATGCGGATAACTCAAGTGCAGAGGTCACCTGTCGTCCCGTTGATCATCGAATTGCTCGAGCGGGCGCCAGCAACGTCTCCATTCGTCCCTGTCGCGTGCAAGAGTTGTCCAGTGGACCCTCCTCGCTCGAGGGACACGAAGTCCTTCATTCCTTTCGTTCAGAGCTTTCGTGAAGAAGTCTGACCATCGGGCCGGCGGTCGTCCAGGTGTTCGTTTGACGTCCCGAGGGATCCAGTCGGTAACCGCTCTGGTCCAACGGTCATCGCAAAATCGCATGACGTGTCCGGCCCACCTTATCTTCGATTCCTTGGCGAAAACGGCAGCGTCCCTGATCTTCGATCGTTGGCGTAGTTCGGAACTCCGGATTCCCCTCTGTGCGTATAGGGTTACTCCTAGCATCGTCCTCTCGACAGCGCGTTGGATAACGCTGACCGCATGCTCGTCCTGCCTGCGCAGAGTCCAAGTCTCTGAGGCGTAGGTTAGGGCAGGAAGGACAGCGGAATCGAAGAGGTGGGCACGGAGCCGGATGTTCTTCGTCTTCTTCACTACTCCCTCGATGTTCTTGTACGCTCCCCAAGCCGCTCGTTTCCTCCTGCTCAGCTCTGGAGCTAGATCGTTCATCATATTGATTTTCCCGACCTAGGTACACGTAGCTGGAGCATTCGGTGATGTTCGTTCCGTTGAGCGTGAATGGGGCATCAGGAACCAATCCGTTTCTCATAAACATCGTCTTCGTTAGGTTCAGCTGTAGACCAACCTTACCACAGGCGCAGTCGAAATCAGCCAGCATTCGCTCCGCTTGCTCGATGTTCGGCGTTATAAGAACGATGTCGTCAGCAAAACGAAGGTGGTGTAGTTGCCGGCCGTCGACCTTCACTCCCATGTCTTCCCATCCCGGCCGTCCACCTTCACTCCCATGTCTTCCCATTCCAGTTGACGCATGACGTTCTCGAGAGCGGCGCTGAAGAGTTTGGGCGAGATGGTGTCGCCCTGTCGAACCCCTCTCTTGACGTCGATGATGACCTCCTTGTAGAATGGGAGATTCTGGTCGTAAAGTTGCTGTAGAGCTCACGAAGAATCTTGATGTACTGAGTAGGGACGCCCTGGTTGCCCAAGGCTTCGATGACCGCTTCTGTCTCCACAGAGTCGAAGGCCTTCTTCAAGTCGATGAACGTGAGACAAAGCGGCATCTTGTACTCTCGTGAAACTTCAATGAGTCTTGTAACCGTGTGGATATGGTCGATCGTGCTGAACCCTCTTCGGAACCCTGCTTGCTCGCATGGCTGTCCTTCATCTAGTATTCTGCCGATCCTGTTAAGGATGACTCGAGTGAATAGCTTGTAGATTACAGACAGCAGGCAGATTGGGCGATAGTTGCCAATGTCGTCCAAGGTCTCCCTTCTTGTACAGCAACACGGTCCTGCTGGTTTTCCACGGAGAGTACCTTTGCACGCCGACTACCCGTCGGAATGCAGGTACCTTACTTGCATTCCGACAGGTAGCGCGTGAAGAGTCGAGCCAGAGTTTTGATGATGACTGGCGGCGCATTCTTCAGATGTTCCGGTTTGACCCTGTCGAGACCGGGTGCTGTACGATTCTTCACCGACTTGATGGCGTGTCGGACTTCGGAAGAGAGTACTGAGGGGACGACGTATCCATCCTGTTGCAGTTGATAAGTGGGCAGATGGACATGGCTATCGAAGAGATCCGAGTAGAAGTCGTGGATGACTTTCTCCATTGCCCTTCGGGATGCAGTAACTGTTCCATCCGGACGTCGGAGGCAGGTCATCTTGGTCTTGTAGCTGGCAAAGCTTCGGCGGGCATTGCGGATGCTCCTCCCAGCCTCTGCTGCTTCAGCTAATACTGCTGCTCTTCGCTCCTTGAGATCTTCCTTTATCGCCTCTCTGCATAGCTTCGCAAGCTCGGACGTGAGTTGGTGATTGCCTGCAGCTCGTGCGGCTCCACGTTGGCGTATCAGCTCGAGAGTTTCCGTAGACAGACGTCCTTTGGTGACTTGCAAACTCTCTGCCTTCCTGCCACTCTCGTGAAGGTGTTCAACGAGCCGATGATATTCCTCGTCGATGTTCTCGATAACGGAATCCTCCCATAAGCTGACAAGAAGAAGTGATCCCAGTTGATGACTGTCCTGGGGCTTCGCTTCCTGAACTTTCGAGGCTCTCTCAACACGCATCGAAAAGTGTGCAGAGATGAACAACCAAATCAAATCGTAGAAAAGTAATATGAGTAGTAACAGCGAAATGAGTGAACTTTTGAAAGGGACAAAATTTTGAAAGGGACAAAAAAGCGGGCCTAGTAGCGGTGGCGATTCAGTGCACTACAGTGACAATGAACTTTTCCTGTTCCTTCATTACAGTGTTGGTAACATGAGCATTCAGCCACACATTTAGATGTAAGAAACAGACGCACTATCGTATCGAAAAATTGTTTTGTGATTACTTGTCGAGAACCGTATGTTTCTGAAAGGATTCGTTTCAGGGCGTTGGATGTAGGTGAAATTGGTTCGAAGAATGTCTCGATGACTTCTGGTGATGCAGCGCCCCATGCACAAAGTAAGTTGTTAGTGGTCATTTTTTATCATCTTCCACAATTTGGAACTGGTGTAAAAAATTTTGTTGTGTTCTCTATTTGTGTTCTTTGCTACTTGTCATGCTAATAGGAAGGAGGACACAAACGTAGCGGTCATCTGTTATATCAACTGACCCACACTGTCTGTTTATGGCGATCCATTACTGACAAACGAATGGTCATTTGGTCAGTCCGGCCAATTCTAATGAGATATACTTCGACGCGCGCGTTTTGCGACGATGCGAAGCTCAAATCCGTTTTTGTTATCTGCGGAAAGATTCTCTGGAGGAAAAATGTTACGAGGGATCCTTCTCACTGTAGCTTTTTCACTGTGCCGCCCTGTACGTCCTCCTATCCCCTCGGTTCGCATAAGAAGATCCGGAGAGCGTCTTTGTTATTCGGCCAGGTGGTATATTGGATAGCTCTCTTGATCCATATGGGCGAGGTCACGCGTTGGAATCCTCGGGCGTGGGTCTTTTTTTTTGCATTTTTCCATGGCTCCTAATACGAGCTCAGGAAGTGTTCATTTATGGTTATTTTGTTGATTTGTGTGACAGATGGAGGGGCAGACTATGGAAATTCCTTGTCGTGCTTCTTTTTTTGTTCTCTTTATGATGAACTTTGATACCCAGAACAAAACACCAAGACAGACTTATACATACACAAAATTTCAACAAATTACGGGCACATGTGATAGTTCTTCGCAAAGTGCTCTAAACAAAACAGCTTTCCGCAGTGTGCATAACGAATAAGGAAAGGCTCTGGGGGATGTACAGGGCGCCTCAGTGAGAAAGCCACTGTGAAAATCTCGTAACTTCTTTCAGAGAATCGTTCCGCAGATACCCAACGGATTTGAGCTCAGCGTCGCAAGACGCGTGCATCGGACTACACCGCATTAAAATGGCCGGTCTCACCATTCCTCGGGAGGTACCCAGGGTCTTCTGAATAACTTGAAAATTATTAAATATATCGTCATGACGCTCTATCTGAGCGTTCCAGAGCACCTTTTATCGCAGAGGATTCTAGTGAGCTCTCTTCATTTCATCCATGCTGACTAATCCTCTCCTTTACTGCCTGCTCCACACTACCGTCGCGGCTGACTCACAGGGTATCAAAGGCCACATTTTCGATGGTTTCTCCATGGCCGTCCACGATCAGCACTGTGCCTTGTCCAGTACTCGGTAACTTGGTCTTCTTGGTACTTTGCCGGAGTCCGCCTCTCACCAGTACTTCCTCCAGTAGATTTGTGTAGAAATGGACGAAACATAAGTGGCTAATATAATTTCAGTAATTTGTAAGACGTTGAGTGTTCTGGTGTCAAAGATCTGCAAAAAAAATTATGACCAACGGTGGTGAGCAGCAGTTAGCTGGCGGCAATGGCTGCCATCGGTGTGAATGGTTAAATCGCCATTGATAACCGGACTTCTGCAGCTTGGTGTTTTCAACTCATACGAATATATGAACAAACTATGAATAGAATTATACAAATACACATAGCTTTACTGGGTTTTAGAATTTGATGACCCTATGCGCCAAACTCTTTTCGTTCTGACCGCAATGGCAATGGACGTGGTCAAACAGCTGAGACGATTGGCTTTGCTCCAAGCTGCAGGAAAGCAGGTACCAAACGGGCGTCACTCTTGATTTCTGAAATTCGTCTTAGTTGTATCATTGTTAACCCTGTTTCAAGGTGGATTTCACACCTAGTATCGATTTGGCCAGGAAACTGCGTAATGAGTTGAACGATCGCTTCCTTATTGTTCGATCTGAGAAGGAAAATGAGAACAAGTATTGTGTGGCCGATCTCGTTCACACGGTGAGTGAATTGCTTAACGACGATGTTTCTCTTCGTCTACCATTTCATCATTCAGGTAAGAATTCTCGAGAGAGACAATCGCACTTTATATGAGAACGTGAAAACTTGGCAGAAAGGAGTACGAGGCTATGGAGAAGCAACATGTGAGTGAACAGATGTACCATCTAGGAATGTTTTCAAATATGTGCTTCAGGCAGAAAATCCTGAAATTGCGGAACGGATTGCCAGTCAACTTCGCAACATTCACTCTGTGATGGGCGAATTCAAACGAACGTGCGGTCAGCTGAAGGAACCATCCAACGGTGCAAACACAAGGAGGGATGCCCCAACTCAGTGACAAAATCCACTTGCCTCAAGTGGCTGCCCACAAGTTTCTTCCGTTATTCGTTTAGTTTATTCGTCTCTCGGCTTGATATAGTAACAACTACTAGGTACCACTTTGCTCTTCCCTTCTATACTTTGGGGTATGCTATCTTGTGCTCAATTTATTCGTCATTGACGTGTTTTAACGTTCTTACCGTAGTCCTATGTATTTAAAACAGATGAAGTTCTCTTACCATAAGTTTTTTTTTGTTCTCTATCTATACTCCAACATTAACTCATGCGGGGAGGGGAGGAGAGATGTTTCGGAACTCGGATAAAAATGATTCTCTTGATGAACTTCTGAAATCGGACCAGCGCGGATGATTTGACCCCTGGATAGCACTAATTCCATTACAAAGGGGTTTTTAGGCAGGCGTTTACTTTCGCCTGAACGGACCCGTGTAGAGGTCAAAAAAGTCGAAAAAAAAATTGATAAGAATGGGCGGTTTTTACAGCAGTGACTTCAGGACTTGCACAGTACTTCATAAATATTGAAGGGTGCTGATAAAAATGGTATCGAAAACAATGTGAAAGCCCACTATTGAAGTGCTGTCAGTGGTCAGTTGCCCTAGAAAAAAGAGGAGGGGGGGGTTCGTAAGCGTTGTCGGCATCTTATCGCTGGGAGTGGTAACCAGGTACGATAGAATTCAAACACGAGTCCTCATACGGATAGTGGTTTATCCCCATCCCCTCCCCTCCCCCTCCATCTCCCGAGCCACTTGAAGCGTCTTCATAAAGAAGAAGTAGAAATCCATGCGCACAACCACAATTAAAGAGGCACTGTTTTGTTGTTTACTAACAAGGGAGGTCTTTCAGGGCAAGGTGCGCTTTTTGGAAACGGTTTAGTACATGTTGTAGGGACGCATGTATGGACCACAAAACCATGTTTCGTTTTCGCTGAACGGTTTTAGTAGTACCAAAAAGTGGTGAATACCTTGATGGTTCGATCCCCCGCGGCGACTAAATTTTGCAATCAAGGTTGGCGGCCACTTGTTGGCTTCAAAATGGTCCTGACGATGAATTTGACATCTGATTTTGATATTTAGCGCGATTTGGCACCAAACCGTAGGCGCCAACCCAAATGCAAAATTTAGTCGCCACGGGGATCGAACCCTTAACAGTACCTTATGCTTCTTTTTTGGTACTGCTATAACCGTTCAGCGAAAATGAAACATGGTTTTGCGTTCCCTACAATATGCACAAAACCGTTTTGAAAAAGCGCACCTTGCCCTGAAAGACCTCCCTTGTAAGTTTTGTCACAAACTTACGTGAAGTATGGTGTGATGTCTGTGCCCTAGCAAACACTTTACTTGACGCTATTTAGGGTTACGATGTCAATGAACTACATGTCAAAGCTGATTTCTTCTCAACAAACCGATTTAAAAATTTTTACCCTACAAGATGTTACATGCAGCAGTATTCTATCGAAAACGAGAAACTCGAAGTGTGGAGCTACCCAAATATGCGAACTCGGACGAGTTCTACGATCGATGTGGGTTGAGCCAATCAGCCGCCAACACCCACGTCCAGCAATGCTGACGTGTAGTTCGTCGCTCTGCGTACTACCCGCCCGTGTCTCGATCACCTGGCTAATTCTGACCAAACTCTGACCCAAAGACTTCTTGCATTGCGTTCATTCTCATTTATTTTTCCATGGATTATTTCGTGGAATAGTTAATGCGGCACTATGCGAGACACAAGGGCGTTAAGAAGGTGGCGCAGTTAAGGCTGCGCCAGACAACTTTTTCTGTAATAAGTGGGACTAGGCTTTAGGCAGGGGAGAAGGACTCCGGGCTTGGTGAGCAAGTTTCATTTCCCCGTAGTTCCTGTTCCTCTCCCCGGCTTCGTCTTAGGCGATGTGCCTGTACTCTGTGGTGGCGCCATTATTCCTACTGACCGTATGACCTACAAAATAAGAGGCATAGTGTCAAGGATTGTTTGTTTGCTCAGTTTAGTTGGTCGAATTGCTGTCACAACGGTTCCTTCTCACGAGAAGAGATGTTTATCAGAAATTATTAGCTTTCAGATGACAGCAAAGTATGATCACATAGACGATCCAACGGGTAAATCCAAAGCCGACTCTCAGCATATCAACGTTTTGACAAGATCTCATCTAGTTGAAGCTTTTCATTTTCTTATATGCGCAGGTGGTATTCTTCTGTGTTACTTCTATTTTGGAATTCAGCAGGAACGGATGTGAGTTTGATTCATTATGCCTACTTTTTCATGAGAGCAGTTTTCAGTTAATAAGTA